GGTACATTAATAATAATCTGAACATCATAGTACATACACATTGTAGGATAATTATTCCGGAACAAGTATGATTCAACTGTATTATCAAAGCCCAAAAGATTAGCAGAACTGGAATGAAAAAAATTAAGCAAAATAAATAAATAAAAAGTATTATTATTTATTATTATTATTATTATTATTATTATTATTATTATTATTATTATTATTATTATTATTATTATTATTATTATTATCATCATCATCATCATCATCATCATCATTTCAAATGCATTTGATAAACACTTAACCACTTTTAGAACATCATTAGTCAAATAAAATAAAGTGAATAAAAATAAAAGATGTTTTAACTAATGACTGGTTAAAACCAGTCATTTAAGAACTCCAAAAACAGTTGGCAAAATATTAAGGAATAGACGTCGTTAGCATGTTTTTCACACTGACATGTACTACAGCCTTCCATAACTTATTTATAGAAGTTTAAAGATTTTACAATAACATACAGGTTTTATTTTATGTGTCAATTCTTTGCCGGAAGTTCCGGTCATGTGCAACCGGTAGTGAGGAACCGCCTTCCCGAATGTTGCCAAGTAACCAAAGAAGCTTCAGATTCGCCATCGCTTTATTCCCGTGTAGCAGCTGGTTAGCAGATTTTACAGCCTGACACAGCCATGGAGGTGACGATGGACCCTTTGTTTCTTGCATGGAGCTATTTCAGGAGGCGAAAGTTTCAACAGTGTTCAGATATTTGTAGCAAAATATTGCAAGACAGTCCCTACGACCAGGTAATGCCGTTATAGTTAGCAGACTCTGCTAGTATGCTAACACATTCATAAAGCTGCTCAGGAGTAATCCAGATTAGTATTCTGCCTGCACCATAACACAGTGAAACTCCGTGTATTTGTATTTATTTAAGCTACCACAACATTTTTGTTTGCCATTTTCTGCTTGATTTTATGTTTCTTCTCTTCTTTCCACTGCATGTTAGTATTTTTCTTCGTTTTTTCTTTACACCCTGGTTTTACTCCTTTCTGTATTTCACTGCATGACTTAAGGACTCATCTTTTCTTGTCTCAGAGGTAATAAAATACTGTTTTCAATTCCTGGGTTTCATTTGTTTGTTTAAGGGCTTGATCCTAACGTTCACCTTTAGTTGTATTTGAGTGCTGTCTATGTTTGTGTATCACAGGCAGCATGGAGCTTAAAAACTAGAGCCCTCACAGAGATGGTGTACATTGATGAAGTTGATGTTGACCAGGAAGGGATTGCTGAGATGATGCTAGATGAAAACTCTATTGCACAAGTTGCACGTAGGTCTCAGCTCTTCGTCAGCAAACCATTGTAAAGTAAAAACTGAAACAATATTTAATTCCAAGAAATTTTAATGGTGAAACTCTCTTTTAGGACCTGGAACATCACTGAGACTCCCTGGAACAAGTCAGGGTGGTGGTCCCAGTCCAGCAGTCAGGTATGATGCCATGGTAGAATAATATCATAATAGAATAATAATCATCAGTGATCTTATAAGAAACCTTTGTCTTAAATTTTTAGGCCTATGACGCAATCAGGGCGTCCTATCACAGGATTTGTGAGACCCAGCACACAGTCAGGGCGTCCAGGAACAATGGAGCAGGCAATCAAAACCCCGCGTACTGCAAGCACAGCGCGTCCTGTCACTAGTTCTTCTGGTAGATTCATTCGCTTGGGAACTGTGAGTGTTCCTGTGCAAATACAGTCTATCCACAAAGAAAATATTGGACTATTTTAAAGTGAACTAAATATAAATTATTTGACAGATTAGCTTTTCGTTACCAATATATATATTAATAAATCTCCTGGTCAAGATGCATAAAAAGCCTTAAAATAAATTAATCTTTTATTAGAACATTATGTACTAGTAAAAAATCATTATGATTAAGAGAAATAGAAGTGTTAAAACATCAGTCTTTGTCTAGTTAATCTAAATGTGTTTCACTTAGGGAAGGAGTTACTGAAATAAATAAACTTTTCAATGATATTATTATTTATTGAATGGGTATGATGTATTTAATTTAAAAGGCACCGTTTGGACTAACAATTATCAAATCAGTTATGTTATAAAATTCCTTCTCTCATTATCAATGTACTTTGATTTACAGTTGAAATGTTCTTATAATTTTAAGTGTCAGAACATGCATCTGCACTCAAACATGGATTCATTTCAAGGCTTTCTATAAATTTGGGCTGGTCTGCCAATAAAAATGACCATCACAGTACATACCTGGTTTTCACAAAATGTTAATCAGGATATTTCTGAATCTAATTTTCATGAAATGTTTAACTCCGGGGTTTCCCCCTCTTCACTAGGCTTCAATGCTAACGAATCCAGAAGGACCTTTTATAAATTTGTCGAGAATAAACCTGTCCAAGTATTCTCAAAAGCCAAGTTTGTCCAGGGTAAAACAAAAATCTTCCTTCCAGCAATTTAGTACAATATTTTCTTTTTCCACATTTAATGTGATCCAAATTTCTCTTTGCAGACTTTATTTGAGTACATCTTTCACCATGAAAATGATGTTAAAAATGTAAGTGTTCCTCTCTTGTGTGGAATATAGCTTGATTTTTTTGTAATCTGTGATCATTGGATGCTAATATATGTGGCTTAATTTTCTGAAAAGGCTTTAGATTTAGCAGCTCAAGCTACTGAGCATGCACAGTTTAAAGATTGGTGGTGGAAGGTCCAACTAGGAAAATGTTACTACAGGTAAGAATGTCTCACAACCATCAAAACTGTGCAGGTGTAAGCATTGGTGTTTCTTATTAAACCAAGTCTGTTTTTACCTTTTCAGACTTGGTTTATACAGAGAAGCAGAGAAACAGTTTCGATCAGCTCTCAACCAGCAGGAGGTGGTAGATACATATCTCTACCTCACAAAGGTAGTGACTAAACTATGACTTCTGTTCATAGTAACTGAGCATGTTCAAGAAATCATTCAATGCAAATTCATGGTTGTTTTATTTCTTCAAGGTTTATCAGCGCATGGATCAACCAATAACAGCCCTCAACCTTTTTAAGGAAGGCCTGGACCACTTTCCTGGTGAGGTCACTCTTCTGACGGGAATCGCCCGCATCCATGAGGTATATTTGTTGACATACAGCCTTCTCAGTCTCCTGTCATGATTCAACTGAGATATTTACTGTTTCTAATGGGATTTCTTTCCAGGAGATGAACAACATTGCTTCAGCCACAGAGTACTATAAAGAGGTCTTGAAGCAGGATAACACACATGTAGAGGCGATCGCCTGCATAGGCAGTAATCACTTCTATACCGACCAGCCTGAGATCGCCCTGCGGTTCTACAGGTCAGACAAATTTACTCTCCCGTTAAGCTGGCACCATATTTTCAATATGGTAGTAGTTTTTGCACAGTTACGGTTGATTGCGCATGCTTGTTCTCTTCCTAGACGTCTTCTCCAGATGGGTGTATATAACTGCCAGCTGTACAACAACCTGGGCCTCTGCTGTTTCTATGCACAACAGTATGACATGACTCTGTCCTCATTTGAGAGAGCTCTGACACTGGTGTCCAGTGATGAAGAGCAGGCGGATGTCTGGTACAATATTGGGCATGTTGCTGTGGTGAGTCAGCAAGCTAAAAAAAAAAATACTACTTGCTATTTGCACCAAAAGAACCATATGTTGATATAAAAACCATAGAAGCTAATATTACATTGTGTGTTTAAAGGGCATCGGGGACTTGACGCTGGCATATCAGTGTTTTAAACTGACCCTGGCTTTCAATAATGATCATGCTGAGGCCTACAACAACTTGGCGGTACTGGAACTGCGAAAAGGTCATATTGAGCAGGTGAGAACAGAGATTGCTTATTTAGCATGTAGGTGTTTGCCTTTTGGGAGAAAACACAAAAGCAATAAATATGTAGTAATTTCTAAAGATGACTACCACTTATACTGTTTTTAAGTGTTCTTATATCTACATATGGATCATTTTTGTTATTAAAGAAGAAAGACCCTTCCTGCAGACAGTGGCATTGCTGGCCCCTCACATGTAGAAGCTAAGAGCCTTTTAATAAATTTGATTAATCAGTTCTTTTGTTTTTGCTAAATTTTAAGTTTTTGTCCTTTTTTTATTAGTTGTTCTTATTTCACACCATCTGTTCATATTCTGAAAACTTGTAAAATTTTGTTTTTTATGTGAGCCACAATAAGGACCTCTTATCTTGTCTTCATCACAGAATTCAAAGTTAATTTTTAGTGCATTCTGATAAGATGTGTTTAGAAAAACTATTTCTTATCCAGTCGAAAGCCTTCCTGCAGACAGCGGCGTTGCTGGCCCCTCACATGTATGAACCGAACTTCAATCTCTCCATTCTGTGTGAAAAGGTAAAGCTCAGCTGTGTAAAATTGCATTTAAACAGCACATTTCTGTCAAGTGATTAATCACTTTCATATGTATGTACATATATAATATGGATGTCTTTTGTCTGTGTCCAGATTGGAGACCTTCAGAGCAGTTACACTGCAGCTCAAAAGTCTGAGGATGCTTTTCCAGAGCACATCGACACTCAGCAGCTCCTCAGGCAGCTTCGGCAGCACTTTGCAGTTCTGTGAGCCATCCAACCAAAAAGTTAAGAAAGTAGTAAAAGATAGGCAGGTTAGTCAGATGGAAAACATTAGCTGTCATTCATGTTTATTCATAATAGAATGGTACCTAAAAATCACATTTACAGAATAAATCATGGGATGACATATTTACTCTAGTTTGATAAAGATGTATTGGGTGTTTCCCACAAATAAATCAAAATGTTTTGCATAAAGTTCCACACTGTTGTATTGTAGATATGCACAGAAGGACTCTTCTTTTATTTCACACAAATCTTTGTCAAATTCTGGAGAATTTTAGAATGATTAATTGCTACATTTTCATATATATATATATATATATATATATATATATATATATATATATATATATATTATATATATATATATATATGCATAGTGGGATCAAATATTTGTTGTACAAAAAACTAAAATGGATGTATTTTCAGACACAATTTTTGTAATTTGACCTTCCCTGCCATTTATAGGTTATGTTGGATAAACAATAAAGAAACAGCACAAAAGAGTCTCTGTAGTGATGCTCAATTGTTGCTTCAGCAAATAAAAGTAGGACTTTAAAAAGAGTGATTTTGTTATCCGAAAGACCTCGGTGCCATTTCACAAATCCACTTCAAGTTATAATTGCACGGTGCATCATTCCAAGACATGAATGGGTTGCTTTTGGGGTACACTGCGGCACAGTCCTCATTGTTTGAGTTGTTTGGCTCTCCGACGTTCCAGTACCTGAAATAAATAATTGGTAGCTTTGTTGAGAAGTAAATTATGCTCTGACACAGTTTATTTCAAACTGGATTGTCAACTATATAACTTTTACCCGTCAGTCAGTCTCGTCCCATCCACCCATTTCCAGACCCCTTCCTCTTCCACGTCTCTCAGTCCGATCCAGAAACCGCTTTGCGACATTGGTCTCAAAAGGTCTTGATTAACTGTTATAAGCCTAGTTATTCCAAGCTGACAAAAAAATTACAAACATCACTGATACATATGCAATGTAGTAGAAAAATATTTATTTCAATATGGATTTCTTATGTTAAACACATTTTGTTAGAAGCAAATAAACCAAGTAACCCACATTTTCAAAATATTATTTTATCTTAATAGGGGAAAAAGTACTACCATCAAAACCAATCTGGCCCTACGGATCTGCATTTGTTGAGATCAATATTACAAACCACACTGACCTGATCCCTGCATAAAAACATGATTTGAATAGAACCTTTTGACAACACGAAGTGGACTAAAGATCTCAAAAAGTAGCACCACATACATAGAAATTCAAGAACAGATGGGTTATGCTGTGGCTTGACCCTACAATGTGACTAAATTAAAGCAATTCTGCAAAGAAGAACGGGTCAAAGTTCTGCAAAGTGACGTGAAAGACTCATTGCCAGTTGCTACAAACATTTGATGGCAGCTATTAGCACAACTACAAGAATAGCACAGTTATTCAAGTTAAAACGGCAAATACATTTTTACATCACTATATATTTTCTGAAATAAAATGTAAGTGCTTAGAATATCAAAACTTAGACTAAATGTCTTACATGCTTTTCTCTGTTGTTCACAATGGCCAAGTCTCCTCCCTGCCTTCTGCAGAACTGCCGGGCCTCGTTCCATGTTGTGCGGTACAAAGTGTCAGAAAACGGGAAGTAATAGCAGGTTGAGCTCATGAAAGTCCATCCAGGCAAACAGTGTCTGCAGCCCTCCTCTGTTTTTAAATAAAAAGATGGAAGCATAATATTCTGGTTTGCAATTATTATGTGTTTGTACATACAGGAATTAAAAAGCCTCTCACTTATCATTGGTAAATGGGATTTCAACGATGCAATGTCCACGTGCAACTTTTCCACCTGCTTTTCGTAGGTTTTGATAATCATGGTGTGGTGTTCAAGCTCCCACTTGACGACTTGCTGTTCGCTGATCTCCATTGCCAGCTGTTTCTTGACTTCATCCCTGCTTTGCACTGCAGCTTCATAAGAAAGCTCAAGTTTTCTTATCTCTCCGGTGATGTCTCTCACTATGTTGTTTTCAGTTAGTTTGTTATCTGCAGCCAGTAAAAAAAGAGAAATTGCACATATTTTAGTCATTTACATTTAACCTGATAATTAAAACAAACACCAAATTAATATTATATGTAGTTATGGCTTTTGTTAGATTAACCATATATGAACCATTTTTTCAGTGGGGAATGGTTTTTGAATCATTTTTAAGAACAGAAATTGATACAAAGCTTTTAATTTATTGCACATTTTCTGTAATACACAGAAACCAAACTATACACTCGTGCTCAAGTACATTCATAGAACTAATCCTAATTCTAACCCTAATCCTAACTAATATTTGGCTACATATTCTTTAATGAGTATTGAGAAAAATGCTAACTTTTTCTTCTTTTGGTAAAAACCTGGAATATCTCTGAATACGTCTTCCTTACATAATTGAAAGATTTCCTTTAAATTAGATTAATACCTGCTTGAATCCTGATTTGAAGTATGGTCATGCATTTTCAGTAGGTTTGAAATTGCGGCTGCTTCTAAAACAATTTTAATATGCATTTGGGATCGTAGTTCAATCTGAATATTCAGTCTAAACCTTTTTGTCTGGATTGAGGTTTAGATAGTCACATAAGACAAAAACTGAACTGTTTCGCCACAATGACAAAAATGTTGTTTGGAGGAATAAATGTGAAGCTTTTTAAAAAATAATTTAAGATGTTTGTTGTACAATTATTCCACTGTGAAAAACAACAGTTAAAATCTTTTTTTTAAATCTAAATAAATGTATGTGCACTTTAATCCAAACTGCATCTGATAATTATTGGTACAAATTCAGTTTTATGATTACTTTCACTTAATGTTACAATTCTTGTTTTAAATACTTGTGTGTTTAGTTTATTGCTTCCGATAATTTGTCTGGTTTTGGATGACGTAAAAATCTGACCACACAAGTTTGGTTTGACAGTCATTAATCTGTTATATACCCAACCTTGATTTACTGGAATAATGCAATGTAATCCTATGCATTGCATTAGGCTAATGACTAATGGCATTAGTCATAAGTATTAGTTTAAAGTTACTTGGGTAGAAATCACTTACAGTATACTCCCAGGCCAATATTAAGCATTAGCAGAATCACTGCCAACACTGCTAGGCTCGCTGTTAGCAGTTTGTAACGATTTATGGTGGATTCAGGTCTCATCGTCGACACAGTCACTACGCAGAAAATATCAGACATCAACAGATGGATATCAAAGAAAATAATGTAAAGTATAAAATATAAAAAAACTAGATGGATATCTTCAATATATCACCTATTTTCAATAGAAAATCTAAATGCAAATTTAAAATAAATAATGGCAAATATATCCTTATTCTCTATAGCAAAGAAGAAATGATCAGATTTATGTGTCTGCAATGCTCTCTCATTGGTTTTCATACCTTGATTTTCCTGATTTGATGGTGGATGAGGCTCATCTTCAGTGGTTTCCTCCAGACTAATCAGTTTGTCATATGGACGACCTGAGTTTTGCATTTCCTCCATTTTTGAACGTTAAATTGAGAGTGATCTCACAGAAAAATCCAGCAGAGATTGTTTGTTAGGACATTGCCCTCAGAGCTCTTGTGTGTACAACAATACACACAGAAAAAGTTCATTTGTTAAATATTGACAGGGAGTAACCTGAGTCCCTGGGCTGGATTTTAGCAAGCCCCATCCCCTATTATCATTTAGTTTTTAGAAAATCAGTGTTTTGGAAGCAGCATATTAAATATGTTTATAAAAGAAACTTGCAACCCTACATTAGGTGAGGTGTTTTAATTTTTGACATTCGTTTTGGCAAGAAGACTTCCTTTTAATTACACAAGCATAGAAAGTGCAACACATACACATGTCGAACTTTGACTGAAATGTTCTAAATCGATAAAAGATTGTTTAATGCAAAGTTTATGAATTGTGAAATCTTTGCTAATCATTACAGATTAGAATGGTTAACTAAAGTCTTCAGGCTGTTCATAGGCATGTTTAAATGATTCAGACATTGTTGAGCCTGATCTCACAGATCCAGTTCAGTAGATGCTGCTGGCAGTTTCCAGTGTACCAAGTCCTCATTGTGTCTCCATAGTAATGAAAAGCAGCACAGTTCCCACTCTGAGGTCCAGTACGACTGGGTTGCCCACTTCTCCAGTACCTGTGATATTTAAGCAATACTCAGAGATTCTGACTGTTGTGTTTGTTAGAAGCTATGATGTTCTTTATGGGTTATTTTAATGATCAATAATGACAGTCATTGAAATTCTTACATTATGGACGTCTCTGTCACGTTGTTCGTCCATGTCCACGTTCCCAGATGTTTCAGCTCACTAAGGCCGATCCAGAACCCATTCATCCACCACATGCTACTGCTGTCTGTCCTCGGAAAATTCGTACTTATGAGTTGCTGTAAACAACATGACATATAAGATAATGTATTACTTATCAAAATATAGTGAAAGCAAAAAGAAAACAAAAGCTTAGTAAAGTGAACTCTTTCTTTCAGAATTTCTTTCTGTGGTTTAGACAAATTCACATTGTTGCTATAATTCAGCCCTTTTCAACAGGATTTACATTTCGGCCCACCTGTTCCTCCAAGCTGTTGATTATGAGCAGGTCACCTCCTTGGCGAATGCAGTCAGCTCTGCTGTCTGACCAGTTCTTTCTTGATTCCGGTTCATAGTTAGAAAAGTAGTAGCATGACGATTCCAGTAGGAGCCATCCCGAAGGGCACCTGCCACAGTTTTTCTCTGTTAAATACAATACTTTTTGTTAGATGAAATTATTTTTTTATTTCTGAGAACAAGAAAGGCTGCACTGTGTGTCCCAAAGGCATTCCATTTTTAGACAAACTTCAATATATTCTATTGGAATTTGTTTTTTATGACAGGCAACACAAAGTAGAGCAAAAATCAGAAAAGAGATGCCTCTAAATAGATTCCTGTGCATCTAAAAATTGTAAATGTGCTCTATAAATAGTCATCTAGCGATTGATTGATTGATTAATTGTTTGATTTAATGAATGTCTGCAAGAGACAGTGGTGAAAATGTCTATCTTAGAAACTTAAAACTACCAAGAGCAGATGCATTGGACAGGAGATTTGTCTTCTCTGTTTGCAGGATGGTAATTTTCCTCTGAAGGTTGACAGTCAGAGTCTCCTTCTGCCTCGCTTCCAGCTTTAGTTGATAATGGTTGGCACGCTCTTTCTCCAGTGTGTTCTGGATCTCCTTTCTCTCTTTTATTATTTCTGTGTGGTTGCGGAGAAAGTTCACCTCAACAAGGAGGGGTGAAGCTGCTAAATCAGGAACCTGAAGGTCTTTGGCGTTCGCACCTGTACAATAAAAAACTGAGTAAGATGAAACAAACTAAAATCGCTGACAATATGTCTGGCATACGAAGAAGCTTGCTGCTTAATACATTTGGTCCAGATCTCAACATTTAGGTAGGTGTTTGAATAAAACTGTAACATTTTAGGTTACTAAAATTTACAGAACAATGTTTATTTTTGTAGCTTTTAACATACCCACAGTGTCTGACTTCCTATTAGTGTGGCAATCAGCTCAGAAATTTTTGGGTGACTTAACAGTCGTGTACGAACAGATTTTCATACTTACAGCAAATCCCAATGACAGCAGCAGAAATCAGTAAAGAAGCATTTAGGAGGCCCAGGCTTATTACAACCAGTCGCTGGTGTTGAAATGTATATTTACCCATTTCTGCAAACAGATCTTAAAAATATTTATCAGTGTTAATCTTCAAAGCAAATTCTGTATTGCTGAATTTAAAAAATAGAAATAAGAATAACATTTTAAAAAGCTGGATAAGCTAAACAAGAGAATGTTAAAGGGAAGCAATGTTGGGAAGTTGTAATAAAGTTCATTGTAAAACGCTACCTTGTCCAAATGTTTGTCGATGAGAAGGTGAAACCTCATCCGTGGTCAAATCTTGATAAATCTTTCCTTCAAACGACATCTTTTCCTCTCTTTTTTACTCTGAATTCTGCACTTTAGCACTGCTAGTAGCCCACATCGATCTGTTTGTTCTGTTCAAACTTGTGATAAGAGCCACAGGCTCGTATGATCATGTTTTAAATGGCATTCTGGCGACTGTGTGACTGGGAGTAAACCTGTTATACCAGTACTTTTTGAACGTTTTTAATACAAACATATTGCAAAATGTTGTATGGCCTATTTGTTGATTAACAGAAATACATTTTATAGATGTGTTTGTGTTTAACTTCCAGAGCTAGAAAAAAAATATGATCAGTATCTTGTTGAATTAAAATTTACATATCTAAAGTTAATTTCATATTTTATTGCAGTTTGTGTTCACTTGGTTAAATTACCTCAGTCTTGCTTTGGACTTATTTTTCTTTTTCTTTTCAGTCTTTGCAGTGTATTTCAATTGCTGTATAAAGCAGACCCTTTATTTAAACTCACCAATATATTAAGATTACATTTATTGACAATGTTTCATAGTCATGCAGCAAAAAATATATTAGTATTTGCAAAAGAGCATAACAAATGTGGCACAATCACAACAAGTTGATATTTTTTAAGGCTAATGTCAAAAGATGTAAGTCTTTGAATGGAGAGCTGTAAATGTAGATTAAATGGACTTTAGTCACATTGCATTTTTCTAGTTTTACCAGAAGCACATTTTAATTAGACTCCTACTCCTTAGTCAGTCAAACTTACAATCTTCACACATACGTAGATACGCAGATTAGTAGACGACTTGCTATGAAATGCTGCATGTGTCGGGAAGCTTGTCTAACAATATACAATTACAGCTTTTGCTGAGACACTTCCACCTCAACAGGCTCTTTTATTCTGGAGGTGTAAGTGAGCACTGTATTTGGACTATGAAGTATTTGTCCCGTTTGGGAACTCATAAGTTGGTGCTTTCTCACAAATCCAGTTTTGTCTGGATCCACATTCTAAATCATTCCAGGCCTTGAAGAAGTTTTCATTAGGGTACACTGCTGCACAGTCCTCATTGCTGTGATAATCATCTGGCTGCCCAACCTTCCAGTATCTGTAACAAATAACAAACGAATATAAAAAGACCAAAATCCATCATCACTGTTTTCCAAATGAGACATTTGTGTTAACAATTGTTGAAACGAAAAAGAATGACTTATTTTCAGTAGTTCTGACTTCTCCAAAATTCTAAATATATGTTCAAAATGATTTTTAAAATAATAAACTCCTACCCTTCAACTAGGGATGTTCCGTCCAACCAGTGCCATGTGCCTTCCTCTTTAGAATCTCTCAGTCCAAACCAGAAACCACTTTCCGGATCATGATTTAACAAGTAACTTACGATTGTCTTCTAATGGAGGCAAAATAAAATGTAGTTGGTTATAAAAAAAACATTATTTTACTAAATGTAGATGTCAAAAATCTTAACTAACCTCTTTGTCTTTGGTATCAATGACTGGAAGATCTCCTCCATAAATCTGGCAGAATTCTCTGGCTTTTTGCCATGATTTCAGCCCAGCATTGTTAGAAGAGAAGTAATAACACACCAAGTTTACGAAGAGCCATCCTGGAGGACAGTGAGTGCAGCCATTGGCTGTCAAATAGCACAATTACAGAAAATTTGTTAAATGAAATACACGCAACTCCATCAGAGCTTTAAGTAAATATGCATAGCATCATGTCTCACAGATCTTTGGTATTTGTGATCTCAATTTTCCAAGGTCTTGTGTAACTTTCTCAATGAGCACTTTGTAGTCTTCAGTCCTTTTCGTCTGATGTTCAAGCTCCCACATGGTTTCTTTCTGACTCTCCATTTCACCATGCAGCTGCTTCTGAGTAGCATATATGTTCTCAACTGCTGTCTTATATTGCTTATGAAGTTCGACAAGGTCTTTTTCAAGGGTTTCAGTGTCTTTGAGTGTGAGGTGAGTTTCTTGCAATCTACTGTCTGCAAAGGCAGAAGAAAATCAATCTGTTATGAGAAATATTATTTTCAGCTATTCTTACTGAAACGCAACTTTCAGAGTAGCACAACTTACAATGCACCCCCAGGGCAATATCAAGTATAAGTAGAAGACTAGCAAGAAGCACCAAGATTACTGCAGCCAGTCTGCTACGTCTCCCAGGAGTGAATAAAGTCACTAAGCACAAAACATAAGGAAATGTAAAGAAATTAGACAGTTCCAAGTTATGTTTATGTCCAGTATATAAACATGAACTGGATCTGTGTCAAAGGTCACAATAGTCACATTCAACTATATGCAGTATTTATTTTTATTCTACATTTAAAAAATATTTCTAAAGCCATGTTGCTTTAAAATGTATGTAATCTCATTTAAATAAATTCTACTGCAGAATTTTACGGCTTAATGTCTTCAGAAATTACATTTCTAACGTAAGTAAAAGTGCATATTGTGAATCTTCAGCCTGTCATACCTGGCTGCCTGCTTTGGTTAGAGAAGTGCAAGAAATTATGATCTTCAACGTGGAATTCCTCTTCACAAATCAGCATGTTAAATCCATCAGAATTGCGACCTCGAGATTGTGTTCTCTCCATTGTCCTTGTTAAGCTTTACTCAGTTATGGACATGTGAATGCATGGATCATTTTAGACCTGTTTTTCCTGAGCTCATCAGAAATAAAATTCTGATGAATGTTCAGTTTTAAATTTATATTTCCGTTTTCTCCTGAAAAGAGAAGTGAAATTATTCTTGAACTACCCCACCCAAATAAGACAGTTGTACTCTTATCCATTTAAGAGTAAAGTTGTTACTGTTTGAAAAATTAACTGTGGTATCCAAAAGTGGCCCATTGCGATCAATATCTTGCAAAAGTATAGTACTGATCATTTCATATTCCTGCTATTACTCATAAATGTTGCTGATATCAGTCCATTTATATTTTCTACTCAACTTTAACACGTTTTAAGAAATATTGATTTCAATTTCCACCTAAGCTTCAATTACAGGGTCAGAAATATTTGACCTTATGAACGTCTTCATAATCTTTGATTCTTTTCAGCTCTGTCATCATATTTATTTCAGTAAATCAATTCATTAAGTGAAATCACATTATTGCACGCAGGCTGATGTTTTTCTTTATTTCAGCTAATTGTGGTGATTTTTCATTTACAGCTCATGAAAATAACATTTAAGTTTAGAATATTAGATGAGAGCAATAAAACATCTTTATAGGGGTCGTATTATGTATTCTACTGGCATATTATTCCATTTTAATGCTGTACAAATCAAACAACTTTAAAGAAATTTGACACTTTGAAATTAGCTTGTCTCTCTTTAAAAAGTTCCTGCTCTGTCCGACACTGCCTTCTGCACGTTGTCAGTACAGTGCCCCTCCATTATGCCATTTACAACCATTCTTATGAGCTTAGTACTAAGAAGTAGTTCCAACTATGAGGTCAGCAGGTGAAATTGCATCACGAGAGCAAATGTTAATACACATCAACTGCAAATTTCATGTTCTCTGCCTCGTCCAAAACAGAATACAGTCCAAGTTCATAAGATAGCAAAATACCAATTAAAAGTTAATAAAGATGCTCCAAAACAAGACTAAGAGTAAGCAAATAGAACAAATCTCAAGAAAAGGCATTATTTTAAAAATAACAGGAGTTAAAGTTTTATTGATGAACAGAAGAACCTAAAACACAGATTGATTCAGAATCAAAATACATATAGAAATATGGAAATTACATGACACAAGAACTAAAGGTTTTAAACCTGTGGAATGAACTGGAGAGCTATAGCTAACAGTGACAAAACCAAAATCACACACAAAATAACCATAATACAAAATCAAAGTACTAATGACCACGACAGCTCATATATTGTTTTTTAAATCTGAACACAAACACAATCACAATTATGTGACACTTTCTCTTTCTCCAAATGGCTTGTTGATGTTGTAATGCTGAACTATGGAAGGTAACTGTGTTCACAAGATCCAATATTGGTAAAAATACTGGTGTCAAAACTCTGAACACCTTAAAATCATAATAAGAACATTTCAAAGCCAGTAAAAAGTAAATATTTTTGGAACTGAAATCCTTTATTTTTGGCAGTGCAAGCAACTGCTTCACATGTTTTCAGCTTTGGTTGATTTCACATATCCATTGTAACTGTCTCTGGCGACAGTCGCAGTCATAGCGTGTCTTCCAAGGATTCTCGTCGCTGTAAACTGCAACGCCACAGTCCTCGCCTGTGTGCATGTCATTTGGTTCCCCATCCATCCAATACCTTTGAAAAATGAAAGTTTTAAGTAAAACAACAACAACAACAAAAAAGTCAAGAAATGTTCAGTGTCTCAAACCTTTGTTCGACCTCTGTGACATTATTAAGCCAAACCCAAGTTCCCTCTGTATCCATATCTGTGAGGCCAATCCAGAATCCACTTGCCCAAACATGTTGACCACTTCTCATATCATTAATAGTATGACTGATAAATTTCTGCAAAAGCACAAACATGTTCAGAAACAATACAGTTTTTCAAGTCATAAAAGACGTGTAAAAGAAAACCGTTAATATAAATGTTGCACAATCATACAGTTGGAAAATTAAACCGTGGCCCCGCGCCTAAAGAACAGCCGCCATCTAAATAACCCCAGCATGCCACTCTTTGCTGAAGTTTTGAACATTACAATAACACACACAGTGATGTTCTCTAAAAAAATCACTTCACTTATATCTATTTTAAAAGAATAATTGTTATTGTAGACACAATTGTGCCACAAATTATTTTGCTAAAAACAATTTCTCGTTATTTTTTCCAACATAATAAATGTACTAAAAGTAAAGATTTTGTGTTCCCAAAATTTCAGTGTGACATTTATACAAAGGTGTAAGAGATCAATTTATTTTACTGCTTTTTTCTATATCAGGGCTACAATGATATAGAAGAAGATAAGATATAACTTTGGTGTTGCTGTCACCTAAGTAAAAGATTGCACATTTACATTTCTCACCACACGTTTATCTCCTAAAAAACAAAAAGTTGCAGCTTGTAGTTTGTTTATTTTTTTACCTGTTCCTGCTGGTTCTCAATCACAACAAGATCAGCTCCACGTTGGATGCAGTCCTCTCTGCTTTTATACCAGTTTTTCTTCACAGTAGTGGACTCAGTGTAAGAAAAGAAATAGCAGCTCGAGTTGAAAATAAGCCATCCAAGGGGACATTTGCCACAAGTTAAACCTGAAATAAACAAGTTATTTATGTCTTGCCAGCAACCTTACTACACTTCATATAAAAAAAAAATTGGGAAGGAAACGTTTCTGTCTGACCTAAGGCCGACATGTTGGCCTGTAGGTGTGTCTTCTCCGCTTGCAGAGCTTCCACCTGCTTTTGATATCCATCATTAACGATCTTTTGCTGCTCAATTTTCTCCTTCAGTTGAGTGTGATTTTTTATTGCGTTTGCCAGTGCTCTCATGGCTTGGTTTTCAGCTCCGACCACATCGCTGTGGTTGCTGCGAAGAAAAGTGACCTCACTGATGACCTGAAATGCAGCTGAGTGGGAAACCTGGAGAGAGTCTTGTTTGGCTTGAGCACCTGAGCAGATGAGGAAAAGAAACTGCTAGAAAGGCAAAGTATTAGTATATCAAAGCTGAGTTTTTAAAGATGCACGTGAAGGTTTTTTAGGGTGGAGTTCCTGCAAACAATTTGAATGTTCTAAAGAAAAATTCAAAGAGGAGTATAAGTTTAAAGTTATTGTAAACTTTCCCGTCTGTGTGTGTGAGTGAGTTATTTTGTGACTCTGTTTGAAGTGGAGGAGAAATTCACTGTAGAGTCAAACTTGTGTTTTCAGTAATAGTTTTAAAAGAGACACTGAAGTTGTTTTTGTATGATAACTCCAACCTAAAAATATATCTGATCAAAAATTCTTCTTTAAAGACAGAAAGTTATTATGGCACTCATAGCTGCAATGAGTGAATGTAAACCTCTGAGAAGCAATTTAATGTAAACTCTGCAAACCAAATAAAGTTAAAAACCAAGTTTTAAAAAAATCACAACTTTCAAGTTTGCGACATTTATGGATGTTGAAACAATTTGAGGTTACAAAACATAACTTTGCAAAGATGAATATTTTACACAATGGTTATTTTTTGTTGTTTTTCTTTTTTTTAGAAAAATTCTTCTGAATGAAGAAATGAGCATTTTATAAAATGTCGTACTTACATTTAACACCAAGAACAATGGCAGCTATGAATAACACGGCATTCAGCAGTCCAAGACACACAATGATCACCTTGTAGTTTCCAAATACAGATCCTCCTGGAATTATTAACCAAAATGTATAGGAATTTATTATATACATGATTTGGATTCATGTTAAAAATGTAATTTAAATTTTCATCTTACAAACTTTAATCATATTATATCTAGTAAAGTAGGTGCAATCTAAGAGCCAAAAACACATTAAGTTAATAACATTTTTTGGAAAGCTTCCAAATCAAAAAGCTGCAAAGAAATGTTTAGAGTTTATAATTTTGTTTTTGCGGGCTTTCAAATGTGAATTACCAAAAATCCAATTTATAAAACAATTCTTGATATGTTTACATATTGCATGTGAATATCTCAATAAAATATGAAGTAGGTACTTGAAACTATGAATTAATAATTAAATAGCTATTTTTATGAAGTGTGTAATTCTGAAATAATTTATTAAAACTTTTAGTGCACAATCATGTATTATTTTAAAATGTATTTAATTATTTTGATATTAGAGGATAGAGTTAAGTTGGCTATTAAAAAGTCTGTTATGCATGATCTATTTAGTGGGTCACAATGGCAGTTTAAACCGTTTCATGACAAACTGGAGGACACAGAATAATAATATAATTACAAAAATAATTACACTTAAAATGGAGCAATTCCTAATTTTGACTAATTATTTCTACATTTGATTACTTACTAAATTGTCATATTTCATTGTTCATATATTAGGAATAAAGACTATTTATTTAATGGTTCATTTAATTTGTTAATTGCAGAATTTCTGGCCTCACAGCCAGTTATTTATTTTCTTTATCTATCTTTTCAATGAATTCAGTTAATAGCCTTTAAATATCCTATATTTTTTTATCAATAGTCAAATTTTAATAATTAAGGAAATAAAGACAATATACACTACCGTTCAAAAGTTTGGGGTCACCCAAACAATTTTGTGTTTTCCATGAAAAGTCACACTTATTCACCACCATACGTTGTGAAATGAATAGAAAATAGAGTCAAGACATTGACAAGGTTAGAAATGATTTGTATTTGAAATAAGATTTTTTTTTACATCAAACTTTGCTTTCGTCAAAGAATTCTCCATTTGCACCAATTACAGCATTGCAGACCTTTGGCATTCTAGCTGTTAATTTGTTGAGGTAATCAGGAGAAATTGCACCCCACGCTTCCAGAAGCAGCTCCCACAAGATGGATTGGTTGAATGGGCACTTCTTGCGTACCATACGGTCAAGCTGCTCCCACAACAGCTCAATGGGGTTCAGATCTGGTGACTGTGCTTGCCACTCCATTACTGATAGAATACCAGCTGCCTGCTTCTGCTCTAAAGAGTTCTTGCACAATTTGGAGGTGTGTTTAGGGTCATTGTCCTGCTGTAGGATGAAATCGGCAAGCGCTGTCCACTGGGTATGGCATGGCGTTGCAAAATGGAGTGATAGCCTTCCTTATTCAGAATCCCTTTTACCCTGTAAAATCTCCCACCTTACCACCTTTGTATATATATATATATAAATATATATATATATACAAATATATATATATATATATATATATATATATATAATATATATATATATATATATATATATATATATATATATATATATATATGTATATATATATATAATTTTTTTTATTTTTTTTGAGAAACATTAAACATGCAAATGAAAAATAAATGAATTCCTTCTTTCTAAAAGAATATATATATATATATATGTAAATAATATATATATAAAATATATATATATATCTATCTATCTATATATATATATATATATATATATATATATTATATATATATATATATATATATAATATATATATATATATATATATAAATAAATATATATATATATATAAATAATATATATATATAAATTATATATATATATATATCTATCTATATAAAATAAAAAATTCCCTTCTCACCCACCGCGGGTGGTTCTTATCCTCTGAGCTCGGGTCCTCTACCAGAGGCCTGGGAGCTTGAGGGTCCTGCGCAGTATTTTGGCTGTGCCAAGGACTGCACATTTCTGGACTGAGATGTCTGATGTTGTTCCTGGGATCTGTTGTAGCCACTGCTCCAGTTTGGGGGTTACTGCCCCGAGGGCCCCGATGACCACAGGCACCACTGTGGTCTTCACCTTCCAGGCCCTCTCCAGTTCTTCCCTGAGGCCCTGGTATTTCTCTAGTTTCTCGTGCTCCTTTTTCCTGATGTTGCAATCACTTGGTATTGCTACATCTACCACAACGGCTTTCCTCTGATGTTTATCCACTACGACAATGTCTGGTTGGTTCGCCATTACCATTCTGTCTGTCTGGATCTGGAAGTCCCACAGGATCTTAGCTCTGGCGTTCTCCACCACCTTTGGGGGTGTTTCCCACTTTGATCTTGGGGTTTCCAGTCCATATTCTGCACAGTGTTTCTGTACACTATGCCTGCCACTTGGTTATGTCGCTCCATGTACGCTTTCCCTGCCAGTATCTTGCACCCTGCTGTGATGTGCTGGACTGTCTCAGGGGCCTCCTTGCACAACCTACACCTTGGGTCTTGTCTGGTGTGGTAGATCTGGGCCTCTATTGCTCTGGTGTTTAGGGCCTGTTCCTGGCTGCCAGGATGAGGGCCTCTGTGCTGTCCTTGAGTCCAGCTTTTTCCAGCCATTGGTAGGATTTACTGATATCAGCCACTTGGGTTATTTGCTGGTGGTACATCCCATGTAGGGGTTTGTCCTCCCATGATGGTATCTCTGGCACCTCAACCTCCGTTCCCTGTTGTCTGAGACATTCACTGAGCACATTGTCTGTTGAGGCTTTGTCCCTGATGTATTTATGGATCTTAGTTGTTTCGTCCTGGACAGTGGTTCTCACACTCACTAGTCCTCTGCCTCCTTCCTTGCGGCTCGTGTACAGTCTCAGGGTGCTGGATTTGGGATGGAACCCTCCATGCATTGTTAGTAGCTTTCTGGTCTTAATATCTGTGGCTTTTATCTCCTCCTTTGGCCAGCTAATTATTCCAGCAGGGTATCTGATTACTGGCAAGGCATAGCTGTTTATCGCACAGATTTTGTTCTGCCATTGAGCTGGCTTCTCAGGACTTGCCTTATTCGTTGGAGGTATTTAGCTGTGGCTCCTTTCCTTGTGACCTCATCGAGGTTGCCATTTGCTTGTGGTATACCTAGGTACTTGTAACTGTCCTCTATGTCTGCTATTGTTCCTTCTGGGAGTGAGACCCCTTCTGTGTGGATGACCTTCCCCCTCTTTGTGACCAGCCGACCACATTTCTCTAGTCCGAATGACATCCCAATGTCAGTGCTGTAGATCCTGGTGGTGTGGATCAGTGAGTCGATGTCTCGCTCACTCTTGGCATACAGCTTGATGTCATCCATGTAGAGAAGGTGACTGATGTTGGCCCCGTTTTTGAGTCGGTATCCGTAGCCATTCTTGTTGATAATTTGGCTGAGGGGGTTCAGGCCTATGCAGAACAGTAGCGGGGACAGAGCATCTCCTTGGTATATGCCACATTTGATGGACACTTGTGCAAGTGGTTTGCAGTTGGCTTCAAGGGTGGTTTTCCACAGCCTCATCGAGTTTGCAATGAAGGCTCTCAGAGTCCTGTTGATGTTATACATCTCTAAGCATTCAATGATCCAAGTATGCGGCATTGAGTCATAGGCTTTCTTGTAATCAATCCAAGCCATGCACAGGTTGGTGTGTCGGGTTTTGCAGTCTCGGGCAACTGTGCGGTCTACGGGGAGTTGGTGTTTGGGCTCCTCTGCTATTTACACCGATACCCTTCTGTGCCGTGCTCATGTGTTTATCCATGTGTTTGCTTATCTTGGCCGCTATGATGCCTGACATGAGCTTCCAGGTTGTGGAGAGGCAGGTTATTGGTCGGTAGTTGGGTGGGACTGGACCCTTTGATGGATCCTTCTGGATTAGGATTGTCCGCCCTTCAGTTAACCATTCAGGGTGAGTCCCCACTTTGTAGCAGCTGGTTCATTTGGGCTGCCATTCGCTCATGGAGAGCAGTGAGTTTCTTTATATATATTATATATATATATATATATATATATATATATATATATATATATATATATTATATATATAATATAAAATATATATATATATATATATATATATAAATAATATATATATATAAATTATATATATATAATATATATATATATATATATATATATATAAATAATATATATATATAAATAATAATATATATATAAATAATATATATATAATATATATATATAATATATATATATATTATATAATATATATATATATATATATATATATATATATATATATATATATATATATATATAAATAATATATATATATTAATATATATATATATATATATATATATATATATATATATATATATATATATATATATTTATATATATATATATATATATATATATACACTACCTTTCAAAAGTTTGGGATCTCCCAAACAATTTTGTGTTTTCCATGAAAAGTCACACTTATTCACCACCATACGTTGTGAAATGAATAGAAAATAGAGTCAAGACATTGACAAGGTTAGAAATGATTGTATTGAAATAAGATTTTTTTTTACATCAAACTTTGCTTTCGTCAAAGAATTCTCCATTTGCAGCAATTACAGCATTGCAGACCTTTGGCATTCTAGCTGTTAATTTGTTGAGGTAATCAGGAGAAATTGCACCCCACGCTTCCAGAAGCAGCTCCCACAAGATGGATTGGTTGAATGGGCACTTCTTGCGTACCATACGGTCAAGCTGCTCCACAACAGCTCAATGGGGTTCAGATCTGGTGACTGTGCTGGCCACTCCATTACTGATAGAATACCAGCTGCCTGCTTCTGCTCTAAAGAGTTCTTGCACAATTTGGAGGTGTGTTTAGGGTCATTGTCCTGCTGTAGGATGAAATCGGCTCCAATCAAGCGCTGTCCACTGGGTATGGCATGGCGTTGCAAAATGGAGTGATAGCCTTCCTTATTCAGAATCCCTTTTACCCTGTAAAATCTCCCACCTTACCAG